TTATTTTAAATTATTTTTATTTATTATTTGATATTTTTATATTTATAACTATGATTTTAAATTTTATCACTTTTATTATAAACTGATTTAATCAATTATGTTCATAACTCATCAAGGGACCTGTCGATGGAACTCAGCCCTGGGAAGTTTTCCAGCTCTTTTGAGAAAGGGCCAATTGACAATCTCTTCAAGTTACCAAGGTAGTCAAGAATCTCCACAGGGAGGCTCCTCAATTTTGGACAAAATTCAATTTTTAATTCAACAAAAGACTGCAGTTCCTGTACTTCTTTTGGAATGGAAATCAGGTTATCAGCGCCTCAAGAGCAGTGCAGGATTACAGGCCTCTTGGTTGGTACGCTAATCCACCACAGCCCTCAATTACTACATTTTTAAGAGAGGCAAGACCGTCTAAACTTGGAATAAAGCTCAGACTAGGACATCCATGCAGATACAAATCTTCAAGGCATGTGGGTAGCTTGTCTCGCATGCTACTCACTGTGCAGAGTCTAATGTGGAGTTTTCCAAGGGACGATAATCTACTTACTGGAACACATTCCAGACTGTCACATTTCTCAATGACTAACTCAGTAAGTGATGTTAGGCCCCTCTCTGGAACATTTTTCAACCTAGGACAACATTTTATGACTAATTTTGTAAGGGACATGAAAGCAAATGCTCCATCATCATCCATACTAGTTATTTCAGAACAGTCGTCGATAGTAAGCAGTTGCAAAGATGTTAACCTGTTGATCAATGAAATGCTCTTTAACAAATCGTCGACATCATCAGCCACAGCTCGGAGCTCCCAGAGCCAGAGCCATTGTTTGAGATTAGAGTGACCGTTGACACGCTTGTCATCCGCGTCCTGCAGCACTCCCCTCATCATCTCCAGTGTGAGACAAAACCGCGTGAGGTCCTCCTTCAATTCCGATGACAAATTCAGCTGCTTTGAAGCAACCGCAATCAACTTGGATACAGTGACATCGACAGCATGACCAAGCATAGGATCAGCCATCTTTGCTTTAGTAACAGTTCGGAAGAGAGAAACCATTAGAGAGAGGGTGAGTCCATATCAAAAATGAAGAGAAAATATGGTACTGGGGTGTATAGATGGAAGCAGGGGATAAAACATACGTAAAGGCAGTATTTGACTACATGTGATGCGAATTAAGGCAACCAACCGACTAAAGAGAGAAACCCATGCGCGCGTAGTATTTGTCAACATTTTCCAGAGGGTCGACACAGGGGAATAAATTCAAATCAAACATTTGAACAAGTACTTTTGTTTTTTATTCAATATATCTAACATAAGCATGTTTTTTTAATGGCAATATCTAATATTAATTAATATAAAAAAAATTTATTCACATATAAATTTTATATATTACATTTATATAAAATTTTAACTATTTATTTTTTTATTTTTAATAATTAAAATTTATCATAATTTTCTAAATAAAAAAATTATTATTTTTAATAAATATAAATAAATCTCAACATTTGAAATAAGATATTAATGATTAAAATTTTGTATAAGTATGACATATAAAATTGTAGTGTAAATAAATCTTTATTTAATAATATATGTCTTAATTTTTAAGAAAGAAAATGATACGCTTATTATAATACTATTATATAACAATATCTTTCATTTAAATGTATTGTTTTTAATATTACGTGGATTTACTATTTATTCATCTAATAACACCTAGAAGAAACTTAAATGCTCTAAATTATAAACCAAGTTAAACTTTAATAAAGAAAGTAGGGACGGATTTGAAAAAGTGGGTAATCACTAATCAAACTCAAACCTTAAAAATATAAAAAAAATAAAAATTTAAAATCTTCGAAAAAAATTTTAAAAAAATAAAATAAATAAATAAAAAACCCACCACCGCTGAATAAGCAAGAATTCCTGTCCCTGACCTTATGGACCAACTGGTTAATACTCAATTTTGAAGCTACACTTCCACTAATATGACACTTCATATCTTTTTTCAACAATTTAAATAATTTAATAGTTATTTTTTAATAAAATAAAAAAATGTTAAATTTGAGTCCTAGAGTATAAGAGAGATAAATTGAGAAACGAAAAACCATTACTTCTCATTATATAATTTAAAATTATAAAAACAATCCATGTTATGGCAACTTTCAACTTAAAATAAAAATATTAATGATAAATTATAACCATAAAAATATAATTGGCGTAGGAATCGATATCGAAACATCGATTTTGACGAGATTTAGAATCCCACTACGATGAATTCGATTGTCAGATTCATCACTTAGGTTGGTAAAACCTAAGATATAGAGATAAATTGAGATAATTCACTCTTAAAAAACTCACTCAACAAAGGAGAAATATAACTGAAATTTTGGATTAAAACTTAATACGTACAATGGTGATAACATGACTATTTATAGGTAAAATATAACGAAAGGCAATAAATAAAAAATAAAGTGCAATTGGGAGTTCGCAGTTTTGTAAAATTTAGTGGTCATTTTTGTTGACTTGTGGTCATGTTGACAAAGTTGCACCGACCTAGGGGTGCTGCAGAGTAGCTTCGGCATGCTTCTTGTTTTTTTCCAGGTGCATTAATGGCGTGGTGCTTTCGTGGTGCTTTCCCCCGATGCAATAACCATCAGACACAATTACTAACAATTTTATCAACACTAATTTATTAGAGAACTAATGTGTCCACGTGGGAGTCGGTGACGTTTATTAAGCATAAGAACCTCATTTTTTTCTTTTTCCGTGTGAAGGTTTTCTCATTCCCACATGCATTGCTTCAGTTTGAATGTTGTTATAATGGGTAGGTGTTACAGAATCTTCTTTCCCTTTTTAATTCAATTAATTAATACAAATACCATTTTAATTCACAATCATAATTAATAAACTCCACTGGTTTAACATCTAAATTAGTCAACAAGTCTCCAAAGTGTAGCGCAGTCTTAGAAATATGACATTACTGGTATTA